ATGCGAAAATCAGAATTCAAGAAACGTTATGATGTTAAAATGGGGAGATATGTTAAGAAGCATATTTATGGAGAAGGTGTTACCGATGTTTTCAAAAGAATTGGTAGAAAGCTATTTGGAAAGACGATGAAAGAGGCTGCTAAAACGGCAACAAAAAAGGCCGTTCAGAAAGCTGCTACCAAAACTGGTGAATATGCTCGTGAAAAAGCAGGCAATAAAATTGTTCAATTATTAAGCAAAAAGAATAAAAAGACACCGGTAGCAGCATTACCAGTAGCGACATCGCCAATAGAAAATCCACAATCAAGAGAACTCACCGATTACGAAATTAATGAGAGGGTGAATCAATTACTGTCTGGAGGCCAGATGAGAAGATTTATGTAATCTATTAATATAATGAATTCTTTTAGGGATCCAAACTATATTGAACGATATGAAGATGTTATTTTTGACCTAGAAACAGCACTAAATACAACTATCTCCAATAATCGTCACCAAAAGAAAGATGGCTATAGGTTTGTTGTTGATAACAGTGGTGAGGTTACACCATTTGACTGGTATAATGCTCGTATCAGTCTCGATTTCAAAGTAGTCTTGCTGGCTAATGTAGGTAACATTGCAGTAGCAGATCATAATGGGATTGTAAACGGGTCGTACTCATTCTTGAAACATTTTGATATTAAGCTCAATGGCCAAAAAGTGTATGATTGTAATGACGCGAATCACGCGGTAAATATTAAGAACTTACTTGAGTACAGTCCCGCTTACGCCGAACAAACCGCCAGCAATGAGTTTTTCTATCTTGATACAACAAGACACCCAGAGGAAACAAGATTCACTAGAAGACGAGTAACTCATAGAAGAAATGCTGCCAATAACGCCGATGATGTAGGATTAATGTTGGATGATGTAGTAGCTAATTATAATAAAGGTTTTGCCCTTCGAAGAGCAATCTTAGGTGTCTCATCCACCGTAAACACTGAAATACCACTGAACAGATACTCATTCTTTGAAATGTTAGAGGATGAGCTGTTACCTAATACAAGAGTTGAGATGAATTTTGAGATTGAGTCCGATGGTAATCTAATTTGGCAAGCCGGGGCTAATTGCAGAGTGGTTATCACCAGGATGCAGTTGTATGTCCCGCGAATAACCTTTAACAGTGAGGGCCAATCATCCTACATGAGCCAATACCTTAAAAATCATAAGTGGACTTATTTGAGAGAAAATATAGAAAGATCAAATAGTAGCCAGCAGAGAGCTGGGCATTTCAGAATCTCTTCTGGTATTTCGAAACCCCGACACGTGTTTGTGTTTATAATCAATGATGCGAATATCGATGCCCAGACAGCTAATCCATTCTTGTACAATACATTCTCTGTGTCAACTTACCCAAGGACCTTATCCAATTGTCACCTGGAAGTTGGAAACGGAAATGAATACCCCGAAATACATTACACACCAAGTACTGACATGACTAGAGTCGTTAGGGATGTGTTGAAATATGTTCACAAAAATAATGAATACGGTGAAGGGTCATTACTCAATAAATCTAATTTTAGTACGCTATTCCCCTTCCTGTATTTCGACTTAACTAAACAAAAAATGGACATTAAGGATGGCACCACAAAACTGACATTCAAATATGAGCTATCTGGAACAACGGCAACAGCCTACTCAATTTACGCATTAACATTGTACGAACAGGATGTTGAGCTAATACCGAAGGATGGCAAAATAATACTTAGATCGTAAATTATGTAACGTATATTATATATAAGTAATGACGAAATATTATCCTTATGGTGTGTCACTTAGTAAAGGACGATTGGAAAAGCTTTCGAGAGCTTATAATAATAACTCAGCAATAACGATCAGATTAGCCAGAAATGAGTTACCCGGACCACATGAATTAATGCTCACAAAATCTCAGATCAATAAATTGAAAAAGGCAATGAACCAGGGTACAGGGTCGGATATCAAAATATCAAAAACACAAATCAGAAAGGCTGTTAGACAGGGTGGTAGTTTGTGGGGATCGTTAATCAGTTTAGGAAGTAAGTTACTACCTACGGCAATGCCATTAGCCAAAAAAGCTATCGCACCGCTTGCAACAGGAGCGTTATCAGGATTAGCCAGTTTAGGTGTGGATAAAATATTCGGGAAAGGGCAACGAGGAGGATTCCTTATTCCAATGGACAAAATAGCACATTTGGTCGCATATAAACATTTACTGAACACAGGTCAGAAAAGGGATATTCTCAATGCTCTCCAAACTGGCAACGGATTAGTTATCAGACCGACAAAAACACAGCAGGGTGGGTTTTTAGGAACTCTGCTAGCGAGTATAGGAGTCCCCCTGTTACTAAATGCATTGACGGGAAAAGGACTGCAGGCTGACAGAACCGGTTCCGCTAATACAACATCTGTTTATGTTCCCGATACAACTAATGGCCATGGAATGTATAATCCGTATCCCTACTGTCACCACCTTTCTTTGGAACATGGGAAAACCCCACTGGTATGGGAGTAAAAAAAAAAGAAAGGGAAAGGGACTGCTGCTCTGCAAAAACAGCCCATTCAATTCAATCCCAATTCTGGGAACAATACTGTAAAATTCATAAATAAACCATTATCGAATATTGATTTGTTACAATGGGTTACACAATTAGGAATAAAATATTTTAGGGGTATTTACAGCCGCGATAATTTACCAGACAAAATACACAAATTGGAAACAGGAATAATTAATCTTGATGATTCAATGGGCGGTGGCAGTCATTGGGGCTGTTATAGAAATGTGGATAAACAATATTGTGAGTATTTTGATCCGTTCGGATTAATCATGCCCAATGAAATCAAAAATTACCTGAAAACAAGCGGTAAAAAAATGGTGTACTCATCAGATGAAATACAAGAAAGAGACAGTGTTTTGTGTGGTTATTGGTGCTTATATTACCTCCTAGAGAGACGGAAAGGGAAATCATTATTAGACGTTATACACAACCCCAAATTCCGTTTCACAGATCAAATGATAAATCACCAATTTCTGATAAACTATTTTATGTAACACTATTATATATGACTGAAAAATTTTGTGTTTATTTCCAAGAAGTTACTCCACATTATGTGGATCAATATGGACGTTTCGAGTGCTGCAACTGTGAACCCCTGAGTGAGAGTGATTATGAGTCAGATAGCAGCCATGAAACTTATGTTCCAGATAGTAATTAGACAATAATTATATAACATAAATATATAATAATGGTGAAATCTTATTGTGTTAAACAGAAGAAGCAAACAGAATGTGTAGAACCTTCGGGTTATAAAATTGCCAAAAATGGTAGACTTATGTTTTGGTGCACTTGTGCTGAATGCGGAATAAAAAAGTATAAGTTTGTCAAGAAGGGAAACTAGGTCAGCCTGTCCTAGGGGCAGGCGTAATCGATACAATAGCTGGTACTGCTCTTGATGGGTTTGTACATCATGCTTTACCTTATATGGCAAAAAAGACCGTTGAGATGGGCAGATATTACGGATCAGAAGCATTACGCAATAAAAAGTTACAGAAAAAAGCTTTAGATTATGCTCTAGATAAATTGAATCCGATGATCCAGAATGTCGGTTCTTAAGCTCTTAACCAATTATCAACCAAAATACGACCAAAGAAAAACTACAAAACTAACAGGAAAGATTTGGATGGAGGTGCTATAGATATCCACAAGGAGATTGGTAAATTACCAAAACCAGCAGGTGGATGGACTTTACCAGGACATCGGTATAGAGGCCCTTACAACGATCTCGAAAATCAAGTCAGATACAATCCAGAAACTGGTGAAATATTAGAAAGTTATGATTCGCCAACTGGGCCAACCGATGCAGTGGCAATGCAACATGATGTTGATTATAGTGTTTGCGGTGATGACCGAAAGTGCAAAAATAAAGCTGACCGTAAAATGGTAAAATCGTTCGGCGCCATTCCCTATAGTGAACGACAATGGGGACACTGGTTAGCTAGAAATCTAATAAACACAAAACAGAAACTTGGTCTTGGTTTAAACTAGAAAAGCCGTCGGGTATCAGTTGGTAACAGCAATTAGCAGATGAATTACATAAACCAATAAAACGCAACTTTACTCGGCGGCGTGTTATTACAACCGGTATTGACAAAATATGGTGCTCAGATCTGGTTGAGATGCAACAGTTCAGCAAATGAAACAAAGGTTATAGATATCTTCTCATGGTTCTAGATCTGTTCTCCAAATATGGCTGGATTGTACCATTAAAGGATAAGAAAGGGGAAACTGTCACAGAAGCAGTCAAAACTATCTTCAAAGAGGTCCGTAAACCACAACATCTTTGGACTGATAAGGGGAAGAGTATTATAACAAAAATATGAAAGAATTGTTGGAAAAGAATGGTATAACACTATATTCAACCGAGAATGAGGAAAAATCTAGTGTGTGTGAAAGATGGAACCGTAAAATTAAAACTAGAATGTGGAAGCAGTTTACTGTCCAGGGTAATACCATATATTTAGACATACTACCAAAAATATTGAAGCAGTATAATAACACCAAACACAGTTCCATTAAAATGACACCTGTAGAAGTTAGTAAGAAGAAGAATGAAAATGCCGTATATTATAATCTGTATGGTGATATGGAGCAATCATCATCTAAGCCCAAATTTACGGTTGGTGATAAAGTTAGGATAAGTAAGTACAAGAGAAAGGTGTTCGATAAAGGGTACACACCTAACTGGACAGAAGAGATATTCCTGATTGATAAAATCCAATCCACAAACTTAATCACATACAGATTAAAGGATCTCAATAATGAGGAAATACAAGGCAGCTTTTATGAGCCAGAATTACTACAAGCAAAACAGGATGTATTTCGCATTGAGAAGGTCATTCGGAGGGATTATAAGAAGAAACAAGCTCTAGTAAAATGGTTGGGCTATAGTGACGACTTTAATAGTTGGATTCCACTAAGCAACCTGCAAGGTTTATCAAACTAATAGTATATATGGAAGATCCTATAAGAAAGCTTGATACTAAAATCAAGAGTAAGGAAACTGAGCTTAATGCAATATTCACTAAAATCCAAAAATTGGAGGAAGAAATTGCGACATTATACCACAAGAAATTAATCTCCAAAAAACTGGAAACAGCTGAGATGACATTAACCAGCGTCTTAGGTGCAATCTTTGAAACAGAGGAAGAGAAGGAGTCAATTGCCAGCGTCCCCAAAATGGGTACGGTGGGTTGGGGTGGTAAAACGCCACCTCAACATAATGACACAAGAGGGAAATAAATTGAGGCAGCTTTGTTGATGCCCTAAAACGGGGCGTCAGGTCTAATGTGCTGAAACGGCACCTCAGGCCTAGCAAACTTTTTAATCGATCATTCTTTTCATATAATATGGTCTGAATGATGATGTTTTTTATGTAACCTGTATATATGAAAAGAATGATTGAAAAAAAGTTTATTAATGAAGAATTAGAAATTGAGCTGACATCATTTATTGATGATAAGCAAAATGTTTGGTTCAAGGGTAAGGATGTTGCTGAGATCCTTGGATATAGGGACACTGATCAGGCCATAAGATATAATGTTGACCCCAAAGACCGAAAATCTTTTCCCTTAAACTGTACGGGTTATTCTCAGAGAGGTCGGCCTCCTATTTTTATAAATGAATCCGGTTTATACTCTCTCATCTTATCCTCAAGATTGGAAACTGCTAAAAAGTTCAAACATTGGGTAACTTCACAAGTCCTCCCATCTATCCGTAAATATGGCCAATATAAAATGTTTGATAGCCCCTGGAATAAAATGATTATGACTGGTAATGAGACTGACCTCCATTATAAAGTAGTGAACCTCATAAGGAGATATTAACCAGATTCCATATTAGTGGCCGGACTGAGTGCAAATCAGGATACTGATGACAAACGCCTCGATTCATATAAGAAAGGATATATGAGAGGACAGCCTGATCTAATGGTACTCGATTATCACAAAGATTATAAAGGCCTCTGTATTGAATTCAAATCGCCAACTAATAATTATCATGTAAGTAAAGCACAATATGAGTTAATGGAAAAATACGGTAATAATGGCTATAAATTTATCCTAAGTAACGGCTATGATGAAATCTGTATAGAAGTACATGATTATATGAAAGGTGTCAGACTGCCGTGTAAATATTGTATCAAACATTTCTATAATAATGACACCCTTACTACCCATTACAGAGTCATCCACAGGATTATCTAATTAATTAGTATATGAATGCTGGCCAATTATTAGACAACTATAATGAACTCCAAAAGATAGAATTACGACAAAATCTGAATACATTCACTCTCAAAGAGCTCAAAAAAGAAATCATCAAAATGAAAGCTGATAAGTTTGCTGTTACAAAAATGAAAAGACGACAGATTATTGAATTAATTGTACAGTATCATTATCTTTTTCCTCATTTATTGACAAAACAAGGTTCCAAAGGTACCAAACGAAAGGGTAATAAACAAAAACCCAATTTACCACAGTTAACACACATGCCTAATTATTCAACAAATTCTATGGCGCCATCTAACACACAATTACCACCATTAACACAGAAACATCTTGAAAATTTGTATAAACTAACCGCTGAAAATTCTAACTAACTGACCTAATCAACCGGTTATCTAACTGACTAACTATCTGACTATCTAATTTATTCGCTACTTTCTTTCACATAATGTAGCATTAATTTGATCACCTCAACCGGTATTTTCCGCTTTTCCCGTAATTTGTGTTTAAAACTAGTTATTATTTTGTTCAATTCTTTACATTTTTCTGGTTCGTTTATTAATTTTTTCCTCATAATTATCATATAAATATCCAGTTTTTTGATAAATTCTTGTTTTTTCATTCGTTTCCTATTAAGAAGTAATTCATTTGCATAATGATTTAGCTCTTCAAATTTATACTCTGGATCGGACTTATCTGGTTCAATCCGGTTTAATTGATCTTGTCTTTCTTTTTCCTCAAAATATTCATCTTTTTGGCGCTCTATTTCTTCCTCCATTTTCAAAATTTCATAAATATCTAGTTCCGGTTCCTCAACTAGTTCAACTGGTTTCAACCGCTTCAATCTCCCAATTAATTCATCATTTTCATCATCCATATCGCTCCATTTTTTATCATTTTCGACTTCATTTTGACGCATTTGTTTAAGTTTTTCGATTCGGCTAATTAATTTATTATATTGTTCGTCATTATACTGAGCTCGTTGCTCTTCCTTTCATCTTGGTTTAATGTCATGTATTTCATCATTTTTTTGATTATTTTGCTCAATTTATTAATTTTTTCGGCAGTCCATTTTAAATGGGTATATAGATCTTGTACATCAAAACTATTCTCTTTGATTGACTCACATAACTGAAGATTTGACTCGACTAAAATTTGGCATAACTCGACAACTTGACTTGAACTCATATACTATATTAAGAAGCCTTCTCTATAAATAGATATCGTTTTGTCCAATTAATTAGCAAAAATAACCAGTCTGAACCGGTATCAAAAATGCTGACATCAGCAAGAATCCCAAAATCTGTACTGAGCGTGAAAAACGGGCGGCTCAGCTGTCGCAGTCTGACGATCGACAATCTGTCGGGATGAGATTAAACCTTTTGAAATGACTTTTATATCACTTTTACTGAGTTTTTATAATAGTGCCCTCACGCAGTGAAAAAAAAAAAGAAAAAGAAAAAAGCATCTTACACGAAGTTCACTTTAATTCCGAAATCATCGGTCAAACTTCCAGGCATTCCATTTCAGACTTACGAGAATCCACATGAACAAGACGCAAGGACAATAATAATAAATAAATAACGATACATGCAAGACGTTAGTTTAGAGGAAGGAGTGAGGAATAAAGAGGGAAAAGAAAAACGTCGAAGGGGCAAGGACGGAAGCGAGATCCAGCAACAAACTCAACAACCTTCGAGATTCGAAGCCAGGCTATTGTGATAAGAGGCATGTGCTGTCAGTTATACATGTACGTCACCACATCCTACGGAAGTTGCAATGTTGATTGTGTTCCAAACTATTTTATGGGTGCTGATGACTAAGAAAAAATATTTTATGTGTGCATGCCGTCTATCCTTAGCCTAATTGTTATTTTCTTTAGTTTTTGGATGTTGTAATGGTAAAAATTAATTTTAAACCACGATTATTATCAATATACGCGGCCAAATAGAAAATCGGCCTCTTCAAAACACACGCTCAGCGGGCCGCAAAAGACTGACAGCGGGCTGCTAATGCATTATCAGCCCTACAGCTGATTGGTTCTTGCTTCATCATCCGATGGATTTTAACCGATTAGAGTAAGCCTAGTGTTGACGCGGGAAAACCATTCATTTGCGAAACTCCGGTTTTGAACTGCAGTTTTTTCAGTCGTCGAATCGTCTTCGAGCGAAAACTGAAGTAATGGAAGAAATTAGCAGTCAAAACTCAGATTTGGGGCTAGAAGATTTGGACAAATTAGAAGCAAAAGGTCAGGCGGAAAATACAAAGAGAGCCACTTCGTGGGGGATCAAAAAATTCGAGAAATGGTGCGACAAACAAAAGCTGAAAGTTGACTTCAATTGTGTAACACCGGTTGAGCTAAATGAATTACTGCGGAAATTCTACGCTGAAGTTAAATCGGAAAAAGGCCAACCGCTAACACCAAGTACTCTAACTGGTATTCGAGCTGCGATCCACCGACAATTGACTTCAGCTCCGATAAGCAGGAGTATGAATATTATGCAAGACAGCGAATTTCTTTCAGCGAACAAAATGTTTGAAGCCAAGTGCAAGCTGTATACA